TCCCTCCCCGGGGCACGCTCTGACCGCGGCCCTCCCCCCGGAGAGCTGACTGATCACGGCGGACCTTTGCCGGGGGTGCCGTTCGCCTCGACACGTCGACGGGGATGTCGAGGCCAATCCCACCGCGGCGATACAAGCGGAGCTGTACTGTCGATGCCGCGCTTTCCAGTGGCTTTGCTGCGTTCCTGCTCGCAACGCGCACCGCCAGAGGTGGCGGAGAGCTTGAGAGATCCATCCACAAAAAGTTCGGCTCGACACATCGACCGGGATGTCGAGGTCAATCCCGCCGCGGCGATGCAAGAGGGGCAGCGGCAGCGGCATTTCTCGATGATCCTCAGAACGCGTGCTAGCGCCAACGTGTGTTTGCCCAGCGAGGCCCTTCACTACGACGAGGGCGATGTGATGGTCGACTGGTTGGGTTGAAGGGGGGTAAGCACACATTGGGCTAACACACATCCCCGGGCATCCGACGTCTCGATTTTTTTGAGACGCGGGCCCCCGACCTCCCGACCACTACCCCGGGACCGATTTTTAATCCCGAGCCGTTTTCTGACGGTCCCCAGGCCCGGCGAGGGCCCCGAGAGGCCAAAAACTATAAACATGCTGGACCCACGAACCCGGAAAGGGATATAGACATGTGAAGCATGGAAACGTTTCGGGACACCTGGATTGGGCGATGGGCCGTAGCAATCATGAATATATCGATGGTGATGGCACCGTGCCAGAAGCTGCGCTGCGCTGTGCCGCGCTGCGAAATGCTGGACCAAACGAAACGCGAAACAGCCCACGAAACGCCCTACGAAGCACCCCGCGACACACCCCAAGAAGCACTCAACGAAGCACGCTAGGAAGCACTTGACGAAACACCCAACGAACAGCCACGAAACACCCCACGAATCACCAAACGAAACACCCCACGAAACACTCCACGAAACATCCCACGAACCACCCCACGAAATAGACGTGCCAACAATGCGCGCTGTCCTGCGCCGCGTTATGCCGTGCTGCCGAGCTCAAATTCCGACTCTGTTATGAAACGGGACGAACCGAGAGGGGGCGAATCCAAAGAAAGACGGAACGCACCGATCAAGGACGGACTGAAACGCGGCACACCGAGACACGACGAACTGAAACAGGACGAACTGAAGCAGTACCAACCGAGACGAGGTCCGAAATCACGCTGCGCCCCCGCTCCAGCTGTCACGACCCCTCATAAATTACGCTGCGTCCGCATTCCTAGGGCCACGAACCTTAACAATTCTCACTGCGCCCGCGCTCCAAGGGCCCCGATCCCTCGTAAATTACGCTGCGCCCGCACTCCAAGGGCCACGATCCTAAATAATCTACGCTGCGTCCGCGCTCACAGGGCCACGATCCTTTGCAACTTACGCAGAGTCCGCGCTCCCACTGCCGTGATCCCTTGTAAATTACGATGGGGTTGCGCTCCCAGGGCCACGATTCTTCGTAAATTACACTGCGTTCGCGCTCCCGGGGCCACGAGCCCTCGTAAATTACATCGGGGTCGCGCTCCCAGGGCCCCGACCCCTTGTAAATTATGCTGCGTCCGCGCTCCCAGGGCAACGATCCCTTGTAAATTACGCTGCGTCCGAGCCCCCAGGGCCCCGATCCCTTGTATTTCACACTGCGCCCGCGCTCCAAGGGCGACGATCCCTTGTAAATTACATTGCGTCCGAGCTCCCAAGGCCCCGACCCCCAGTAAATTACGCTGCGCCAGCGCTCCGAGGGCCACGATCCATTGCAGATTACGCGTGGTCCGCACTCCAAACGCCACGATCCCCCGTAGATTACGCCGCGTCCGCGTTCCCTTGGCCTCCTGGGGCATGCTGGGGCGCCCAGGTCCCCCAAGTTTTGCACAACAAGCGCTACGCTCGAGACATCCTCGATTTTTTGGCGCGGGGGGCGCACCATCCTCGAGCGGGCACGCAAAAATTCAACATGTTCACGCTTTCCGCGCCGCGTTGGACTTTACCTCGTTTTTTGATCGAAAAAAACGGAGGTCCGCGGACTCCGTTATTCATCGAGGATCCGAGATGGGGGGTCGACTTTTCTAGAGCGGCACGCACGAAACGCACTTTCCGCGCCGAATTCGACTTCACATTTTCTATAAAGGAAAACGGTCGTCCGCGGACCCCGTTATTGATCGAGGATCCGAGGTGGGGGGTCGACTTTCCTCGAGCGGGCACGCGCTAAACGCATTTGTTTCACGCCGAAATTGACTTTACCTCTTTTTTTATCGAGGGGAAATTCACCGGCCCTACAGAAGTTGGCACCGGGGGGAATTACCTAGAAAGAAGACCCTGGGCCTGCGCCCTTTCCGGGGAAAACCTCTGCCTCGACTTTTTGTCGAGACGCCCGATGTCTGAGGCCTGAGGATCCTCGAAGTTCTCTTCCTCTGCGCCTCGGCGGCGAGCCCAGCCAGCAGCTCCAGGACCCGCGCGTGGCGCTCGGGGCCGTCTCGCTCGCAGCAGGCGGGCAGGGCCTGGGACCAGGTCGGGGGCTTCTCAACAACAGCAGCAGCAACAACAACAGCAACAGCAACAACAGCAACAACAACAACATCATCAACAACAGCAGCAAAGCAAGGCTCTACGTTGCATCTCTCCGTTCCCACAGGGCTCCCAACCTCGCGCTGCGCGCTTCGCGCTGCGCGAAGTGCGAATACCTTCGCGCTCTCGCGCCGCCCCCCAGGGGAGAAGAGGAGGATGAGGAGGCATCGGAGCCGAAGCGCGAAGCGCGAACAACTTCGCGCCCTGGAGGGCGTCCTTGGTTCCGCCTCTGGTGCCATCGTCGTGTTCGTCAGATGCTACACCGTATGCAGCTTGGCCCGGTGAGCCCCTGGGAGGCGAAACGCGTAGCCTCGCTTTCTTTCTCGCTCGAGGCCCGATCCAGAACACATTCAAACATGATCGACCCACGAACCCGGAAAGGAATATAGAAATGTAAGGCATTGCAACATTTCAAAGACACCTGATTGGGCGACGGGCACATGCAATGCTGAATGTATCGATGATGATGTACAGTGCCGAGGGCTGTGCTGTGCTACGCCGTGCTGAACTGCGATGTGCCATGCCGCGATTGTGCTCTATGTAGCGTTGTGGATCGAGTCCTCCCTGGCATCCGAGTCCTCACCGAACTAATCTGGAGCGTAAGCTCGAGCTGCCTGAGCAGATGGTAGCTGCCCCTGAACTAATCGACAGAGGGAACATGCCAGGAGGACGCACCGCGGAACGTCCCAAGGGAGGCGCCAGGCGACGTGCCAGGGGACGTGCCATGGGCACGCACCGCGGGACGTGCCAAGGGGACGCGCTACGGAACGTGCCAATGGACGTGCACCGCGCGACGTGCCAGGGGGACGCGCCGCGCGACGTGCCAGGTGGACTCGCCACGGAACGCGTCAAGGAACGTGCCAAGGTCCATAGTTGAATGTATCGATATTGATGTACCGTGCCGACGGCTGTGCTGTTCTGGGCCGTGCTGAACTGCGATGTGCCATGCCGCGATTGTGCTCTATGTAGCGTTGTGGATCGAATCCTCCCTGGCATCCGAGTCCTCACTGAACTAATCTGGATCGTAAGCTCGAGCTGTCTGAGCAGATGGTAGCTGCCCCAGAACTAATCGACAGAGGGAACATGCCAAGAGGACGCGCCGCGGAACGTCCCAAGGGACGCGCCAGGCGACGTGCCAGGGGACGTGCCATGGGCACGCACCGCGGGACGTGCCAAGGGGACGCGCTACGGAACGTGCCAATGGACGTGCACCGCGCGACGTGCCAGGGGGACTCGCCACGGGACGCTCCGCGGAACGTGCCAGGCAACATGCCAGGCTGCAATGCTAAGGGTATCGATATTGATGTACCGTGCCGAGGGCTGTGCTGTGCCTGGGCGACCTGGACACGTGAAAACACGCGTTTCGCTCAAGACGTTGTCAGCACATCCTCATGCTAGACATCCACTTGGGCGACCTGGACACGTGCAAACAAGCGTCTCGCTCGAGACATCCTCAACAAATGCTCATGCTAGACATCCACTTGGGCGACCTGGACACGTGAAAACAAACCTCTGGTTCGAGACATCCTCAACAAATCCTCATGCTAGACATCCGTCTGGGCCACCTGGAGGCGTGAAACCGAGCGTCTCGCTCGAGACATCCTCAAGACCTGCGCACGTGAAAACAATCAATCCACTTGAGAAATCCTCAGAATTCAAGTCCCCAGGAGAGGACAATCTATAACACAAAACAAGCGTTTCGCTCGAGACATCCTCAACAAATTCTGAAAAACAAGCGTTTCGCTCGAGACATCCTCAAATTTTGATTCGCCGGCCCCACGCGACCTCGTTATCTATCGCAAAAGAAATTCGCCGGCCCTACAGCCGTCAAATCGGGGGTAAACCTACTACAAGAGAACCCTGGGCCTACGCCCTTTCCGGGAAAAACGATGTGTGAGGCATGGCAACGTTTTCAAGACACCTGATTGGGCGACGGGCAATTGCAATGCTGAACGTATCGATCTTGATGTACCGTGCCAAATGCTGTGCTGTGCTGGACCTTGTTGAATTGCGATGTGCCATGCCGCGATTGTGCTATGCAGCGTTGTGGGTCCAGTCCTTCTTAGCATCCGAGTCCTGACCGAGCTGATCTGGATCTTAAGCTCGAACTGCCTGAGCACATAGTAGCTGGCCAAGAACTAGTTGAAGTCGAAACGTGCGGGACTTTCATTCGACTCGAGCTCGAAATCCGACTCGGCTCCGAAAAGGAGGACACGACACGGGGCACAGGCTCACGGACGCGCCACAGCATGTGCTATGGGCGCATTCGGGGATGCGCCAGGGGACGTGCCAGGGGACGTAGACCTGCCCTGGACGTGTCAGAGACCTGCCACAGGACGTGCCAGGGCGCGTGCCATTGGGCGGGCCAGAGGACGCCACGCCAGGGGGCGTAGTGAGGGGCGCGCCACGGGGCGGGCAGGGGAAACGCCTGAGGACGAGCCAGGAAACGCGACCGAAGACGAGCCAGGGAAGGTGCCAAGCCGAGGGGCGTGCTGGGGAGGAGGAGGAGGAGGAGGAGGAGGAGGAGGAGGAGGAGGAGGAGGAGGAGGAGGAGGAGGAGGAGGAGGAGGAGGAGGAGGAGGAGGAGGAGGAGGAGGGGGGAGGAGGAGGAGGAGGAGGAGGAGCAGGAGGAGGAGCAGCAGGAGCAGGGCAAGCCACGCCAGAACGTCGCAAAGGACGCGCCGTGCGAACGATTGCCCAGCGTCGCTTCGCGCGAACCTCGAGGCAACAGCGGGCCGCGCGCTGCAGCGCGCACGCCGTGCAGTCGCGCGCGCGGGACGGCCGCACGGGGGACGCGCCAGCGCGCCAGGGGACGCCCCACGGACGGGCGGGGTGGGAGGGCTCTGGGAGGGCCCTGGAGAGGGTTCAGGTGCGCCCTGGGCTCTGGGCGGCTGCCAATTCACCGTGATGTGGGTCTGCGGTGCCCTGAGAAGGCCCTGGGAGGGCCCTGGGGGCTCCTGAGGGGGCTCCTGGGGCGCTCCTGGCGGGTTCCTGAGGGGGTTCCTGGGCGGTGCCCAATTCACCGTGACGCTGGTCTGGGGGGGCTCCCTACTGCGACGAGCGTTTCGTTCGAGACGTCCTCATCACATCTTCATGTCAGACGTCCGCTTGGGCGACCCGGAGACGTGAAGATGAGCGGCTCGCTCGACCGGACTACGTCCTCACGTAAGACATCTGCACGAGAAAACAAGCGTTTCGCTCGAGCCTTCCCAAACTTTGTGAAGCGAGCGGCTCGCTCGAAACATCCTCAACCAATGATGTAAAACAAGCGTCTTGCTCGGGCCATCCTTACAACACAAATCCGCCTGCCCACCCGTTTCCCTGTTATTCATCAGAAGCGAATTCCGCCGGCTCACCCCCAACACGGCACCGGAGACACCTACACTACTAGAAGGGAGTCCTGGGCTTCCCGGGAAGAAGACGCTCATTCAATTCATTCAACATGATTGGCACACGAAACCGGACAGGGATTTGAACTGCGAGGCATGCAAGCGCTTCCAGGTACCTCAACTGGACGATGGGCAATGGCAATGGTGGCTATATCAGAGGTGATGACATTGCTCCGGGCGCTGGTTGTGCTGCTCTGCGCTTTGCCGCGCAGCATTGGCGTGCCAGGGGACGCGCCGCTGAACGTGTCAGAGGACGTGCCAGCGCGCTGCGCGATGTGCCACGGGGACACGCTGCGGAACGTGCAAGGGGGACACGCCTCGGAACGTGCCCGACGACGTGCCAGACGACGCGCCAGGGAACGCGCCAAGGGGCTGCGCTGCAGTTCTACGCGCCGCGCCGTTGGACATGCCGCGGGACGTGCCAGGGGACGTGCTCGGGCACTCGCCGAGCTACGCGCTCAAGGGGCGCGCCAACGTGCCGAAGGGGCGCGCAGCGGAACGCACCAGCGGACGCGCCGCGGTACGCGCCAGGAAACATGCCAGGGGACACGCCGCGCGACGTGCCCAGGGGAGGCGACAAAGAACGCGCCGGGGAACGCCCCCAGGGCCACGAAGCACTCCGCGGAGGTTGCCCAACATGATGGACCCACGAACCCGGAAAGGGATAAAGACATGTGCAGCATGGTCACGTTTTCACGATACCCAACTGGGCGACATCTCACGAAACATCCCACGAGACACCCCGCGAAACATCCCACGAGACACCTCACGAAACATTCCACGAGACACCTCACGAAACATTCCACGAGACACCCTTTGAAACATTCCACGAGACACCCCACGAACAGGCAACCACTCAACCAGACACCCCACGAAACATTCCACGGGGGTGCGACTGGGTGTGGTCGTGCTGGGGTGTGGTCGTGCTGGGGTGTGGTCGTGCTGGGGAGTGGTCGTGCTGAGGTGTGGTCGTGCTGGGGGGTGGTCGTGCTGGGGGTGGTCGTGCTGGGGGGGTGGTCGTGCTGGGGGGTGGTCGTGCTGGGGGGGTGGTCGTGCTGGGGCGTGGTCGTGCCACCCCGCGAAACATCCCACGAGACACCTCCACCCCGCGAAACATCCCACGAGACACCTCACGAAACATTCCACGAGACACCTCACGAAACATTCCACGAGACACCCTTTGAAACATTCCACGAGACACCCCACGAACAGGCAACCACTCAACCAGACACGCCACGAAACATTCCACGGGGGTCCGACTGGGTGTGGTCGTGCTGGGGTGTGGTCGTGCTGGGGTGTGGTCGTGCTGGGGAGTGGTCGTGCTGGGGTGTGGTCGTGCTGGGGGGTGGTCGTGCTGGGGGGTGGTCGTGCTGGGGGGGTGGTCGTGCTGGGGGGGGGGTCGTGCTGGGAGGTGGTCGTGCTGGGGAGTGGTCGTGCTGGGGCGTGGTCGTGCTGGGGAGTGATCGTGCTGGGGTGTGGTCGTGCTGTGGTGAGGTCGTGCTGGGGTGTGGTCGTGCTGGGGTGTGGTCTTGCTGGGGTAGGGT